ATAAAACAGGATTCAAGGAGATAAAAAATGGCGATTGAATTTGCATTTAAATTTTTGAAGGAAAGCAAGGAGCCTGGAGAGTTCTACAGGCGAGGAGGGGGGGCAAAAGAAGAAATTATTAAAATAGAACTTACGGATCTATCTAGCAATTTCAACTGTAATGAGACTAGACTTAAATCCTTGAAGTCGACGTACTAAAGAAGAAATCTGAGAACAATTGTCAGTAAAATATTTATAAAAAAGCTAATATGGCGATAGGAAAGTGGTTGTAGTGGGTTGGTATTTTGTTTTTCGATCGATATTAGAATATGGTAATGTTGTTGGCTCAAAATAAATAACACCAAAACTTGGGTCAATTTTTTATTGACGCCTGTGTGTGTACTAACTTAACTCGCAGTTAAGAGAGTGGTCGGTCTCATGCCAAAATGACGTTGACAAAGGCTGATTGAATCTCCTTTACTTAGGACCGTTGCAAAACACGTCGGAATCCAATGATTCAAAAGTATCCAACCACTAAATGATCCCCCTTTCCGGAAGTGGGGGTCACAAACTTTGCAAACCGGATCCCCCCACTTTTTTTGGATTTCATTTGCATTATGGGAAAATGAAATTATTTATTTTATTTAATTATTATGTTTATTATTTATTTTTGGTTATTCGTTTAGTATCAGAATATGGTAATGTCGCTGGACCACAATAAATAACACAAAAACTTGGTTTGAAAATTAAGGGTCGATTTTTATTGACGCATGTGTGTGTACTAAACTCAGAGGTAAGATAGTGGTCGACCTCAAGTCAACCTGACGTTAAGAGAGGGTGACTGAATCTCCTTTACTTAGGACCGTTGCAAAACACGTCCGAATCCAACGATTCGAAAGTATTCAGACTCTAGATGATCTCCTGTGACCGGAAACCCTTTTTTGGTTTCCATTTGCATTATGGGAAAATAAAATTATTTATTTATTTTTTTATTATTATGTTTATTACTTAATTCATTATTTAATTTTCATTCTCCCACATGATTGATTGACCTCAATTAAATGGAACCAAAAATGGAAACTCATAATATTAGCACGATAAGAATAAGAAAAAAAAACTGGCTTCAAGAATGTTACAAAAAGAGATTTGAAAGAAAGAACAATATTAGCAATAATAAAGGAAGTTTGCTTGGCCAGCACAAAAAGGTTCGTGGCCGACGGATATTTGGCCGAACGGACATTTAGTCGACGGATATTTGGCCGAACGGACATTTAGTCGACGGATATTTGGCAGAACGGACATTTAGTCGACAGACATTTGGCGGAACGGACATTTTGCCGAGAGACATTTGGCCGAACGGACATTTAGCCAACGGACATTTGACCGAACGGATATTTGGTTAACAGACATTTAGTCGACGGATATTTGGCCGAACGGACATTTGATCGGCGGATATTTGGCCGACAGACATTTGGTCGATAGACATTTGGTCGACAGACATTTGGCCGAACGGACATTTTGCCGAGAGACATTTGGCTGACGGACATTTGACCGACTGACAATTCATCGTAAAAGTACAAGTAAAAATAGTAACAAACAATACTTTAAGTAATTTAGTTAGCAGTATTATAAGGTGGCCGAGTGGTTAGAGCGTTCGCTTCCTGACCAGGTTGAACCGGTGTTCGAATCTCACCATACACAGTTTGTCAGGAAGGAGACTTCCTGATATTATCGGACTGGAGGGTCGATTCAAGCGTGCGGTACCACTGAAAAGTGCCTGAAGACCGTAACTTTGTACAGAACATATCTAACAAAAGTACCAAAGCATTGGATAAACAGATTTTCTTAACTATTAGGTTGGTGCAAAAATAATGACGTAAGAATGTCGTTTTTTGACGTTAAAAATACGTCAAAAACGACATTATTACGTCATTATTAATATAACTCTCTTGCAATCTTTTTTTATGAATTTCACACATAAGTAATTTCTTTATTTCCTTTTTTTTAAGTTATCTACGCTTAAGGATATTTTTCTGGGTTATATCGTGATATATACAGAGTCATTGAAAAGTAACTCTCTATTTTATAATTGATGGAGTCTTCTGTCTTGTAAAAATTATAGTGAAACGGGAGAGTCCAAAATGCCTCTCGCGTGGCGGGGTAAAGTCTTATCAAAGGCATCTTGTAAGTAAAATAGAGAAAAAGTAGATGAGATTTTGCATATTTTTCTTATAGCGGTCGTTAGCATAAGTTCTTTGGCAGACAAGTGGGATAGTCCAACAAAAGACTGAGTAACGAGACTGAAGATGTTACGATATAAGTGTTTTAAAGTAACATTTCTACAGTTCTAGCTTTTAATAAGTTATTATTAATTCAAACGTTTTATCCAAGATAAAAATAAAAAAAAAATACCCAGCTTTTGTAACGTTCTTGCTTCGAAAAATCGAGAGTTTTATTAATCGAGAAAAAAATGATGACAAATCTGTTGGGAAAGGGTCATAAAATCAAGTAAAGTCCAATTTTATTTGTCTGTTCATAATCGATAAAAGAAAATCGCATATCGAACCAACAAAAGAAATCAAATAATAAAAAAGAGGCCGGAATTTCTTTTCAAGAAACGTTCTGGAATCTTTAATTTCCAAAAAATAAAAAAAACAAAAATAAAATGAAATAAAAAAAACGAAAAATAAAATGTTTACTTATGCATCTGATTAACCCATGTCAAGAGATGACCTTGTGTTATTCATCATTCGTGACTTTTGCTCTTTAAAACATCATTTTCTTTTAAGCAAACTCTCATAGAGACGACAACAAAGACTTTATTCCGACGCCATCTTGCAGTCTTTCTAATGCAATTCTTGTAGTTCGACTTTCTTTTAATACAACCAAAATTTGATCAACACGTTTTATAGCCAGTTAAGCAAAGACTAGTTCGCATTGACTACGGTCGAATATTTGTTTGTGTTTCCATTCTACAGTTTTGGTATCTCTTGCCTCACCGGATTGAGAATCTCATGAGATAGTCATGAATGACACAAACTAGTTCAGGAATATCTAAACTGTCAGTTGTATACAACCGCTTTCTCAAATCAATGGTAGCTTTGAGTGAATGAAATCTGTAGCTCTAGGCAAGAACCGTCCTTCTTTGAATTTAGTAGATTGGCGCTACACAATCACAAACAGATGACAGTAACCGCATCACTTAAGTAGAATTGGTTGCTCGGTCAATGAATGCCGAATGTTTTCTGATAAGGAAACAGCTTATATTTCCATTGTTTTATTGTAAAGTGGGGATGATGTCTATGTACAGGCCACAGTAGCTAAGATCCGGTCTATACTTTCAACTGAACTGATTATATTAGGCTGTTCGGAAAATAATGTCGAATTTTGTAATAAATATTTATTTCTGAATGGTTATATCTCAACAGCGTTTAAATAAGTCATTCAGGAACTGTGAACATACACTGACTTTTGCCATCGAGTTACGAGGTTATTTATGCTTTTACAATGAATCTCTTTTGGGTCTGTCAATGGATCTAACCAACGCCTTTATCCACTGTGCCATGTGTCCTTGAGTGACAGACCCAAAGAAGGTGAGTTCAATACCTGGTCAAGGCAGTGGAGAACTTTCAGAGGGAAAATTAGCAGGAGATAACTGATAACTGACATCCATCAAAACATGGCACGTGGAACTAGAACAGTCTACCCCAGTGATCGAAATAAAGGGTTCAGTTCGAAATTCCAACCACCTGAAGAAGACCGGAGCGTACAACGGCCGAAACGTTGTGACAAATATGGCGACAAAGATGAGGACAATAGTCCGACTAATGTAAATACTGTACATAATACCTCATCTCGGAAATATAGACAAACTCTAAAGGAGATCGATATAAAATTAATAAAGAGGACACTTTAAACATTGGGAATGAGTAATATATATTTTTTTGTGCAACTATTATAATAATAGATTAGAACTCAATTAAAACGTTTATTCTAAAATCAGACATTACTTTCCGAACAGCCTAATATTAATTTCCAATGTATACGCAGGGTGCGTCACGTATTTGAGAACAATATTCTGAAAGAGATTGATATAAAAACAAAGAGGACACTTTAATTATTAAAAATGAGTAATATATATTTTTTGTGCAAGTATCATAATAATATGTTCGAACTCAAAATGTACATCCTAAAATCGGACATTACTTTCCGAACAGCCTAATACTATTTTCCGGAGTATACACAGGGTGCGTCACGTATTTGAGAACAACATTCTGAAAGAGATAAATATAAGATTAACAAAGAGGATACTTTAATCCTTAGGTATGAGTAATATATTTTTTGTGCAACTGTTTTAATAATAGATTAAAACACAAAAGGTTTATTCTAAAATCGGATATTATTTTCCGAAGAACCTCATAATACTTGTTTGAAAATATAAAGGAATTTGAATGTAGTGATAAAAACAACAAAAGTATTGATGTAAAATGAACCAGTCTTAAATTAATAATAATAATAATAATAATAATAATAATTGATTTTTTAAAGTAATGAAGTATGGATCTCTTTAGCGAGATGGAATCTTGATAGGCTTTTATTTCGTTCTTCATTCGTACTCCACTCAATTAAAAAGATATACTGAAGTATATTCAAACAAAATCCACGAGAAAATAAAATCCCTGGAGTTATTATTTAAGTCGGAAAGAGAGAGAGAGAGAGAGAGAGAGAGAGAGAGAGAGAGAGAGAGAGAGAGAGAGAGAGAGAGAGAGAGAGAGAGAAAAGCAAAATTTGTGTTCCGGAAAAGCAATGGATTTGAAAATAACCAATAAAGATGAAAAATAAAATTTGAATCGTTGAAATGGTTGTTTGGTAAGAAGAAATGTCAGGCGGATGAAGAAAAAGAGGAAGTGGGGCGGGGGGGGGATGAACGTGCGGAGGAAGTGGCGGGAGGGGAGGGGGAAATAACAAAAAGAAAGAAGAGGAAAATTAAGAGAAGAGTAAAATGAAAATGGGAAGGAGAATTAGAAGGAAAAATAAAAAAGAATGAGGATAAAAAAGAGAGAAGGGAGGAGGAGAATAATGAAAAAAAGAAAAAGTGGGAAAAATTGACAGGAAGGAGAGAAATGAAACGGGGAGTAGGACGAAAAAGGGGAAGCAGAAAAATGAAGAGGAAAGGAGGAAAAAAATGACGAAAAGAAAGAAGAGGAAAATGGACATGGAGGAAGGGAAAGGGGAGGGCGAAGGAAGAGGAAAAGAAGGAGGTGGAGAAAATAAAGAGGAGAGGAGGAAGGAGGAGAAAAATGACGAAAAGAAAGAAATGGAGAGGGACAAGGAAATGAAAAAGGGGGAGGGGGAAGTAGGAGGAAAACGAAGAGGAGGAAGTGGAAAATGAATAGGAAGGAGGAAAATACGACGAAAAGATAGAAGAGGAAAATAGAGATGGAGGGAGAAATGGAAAGGGGAAGGAGAAATAGGAGGGAAATGAAGAGAAAGGGGGAGGAGAAAATTGAAAGGGGGAGGAGAAAGAGGAAAATAAAGAGAGGGTAAAGGAGAATGACAATCAAGAAGAGAAGGAAGAGAAAAATGGCGAACAAAAAAATGAGGAAAATATAGAGGGAAAAAGAGAAATGGGAAAAAAACAAGGAAAGGAAAAGGAATAAAGGAAGAGGAGGGAAATAAAGAGGGAGGAGGAGGTTAATGAAAAGCAGAAGGCGTAGAAAAATAAAACGAATATAATGATGGAGGGAGGAATTGGGAGAGAAAATGGAGTAAAGAAGGAGGAAGTAAATGAGACAAAGAAGAACAAGAGGTGATAGAAGAGAAAAGCAGACGATAATGAAAACGGAAAAAGAAAAGAAGGTAAAAGAGAAGAAAGACAGATATGACGAAGAGAGGGAGTAGAAGTAGGAAGATAAAAAGAAGAGAAAGAAGCGATGAGAAAAATGACGAAAAGAAGAATATGGCAAGGAAGAAGACAACCATTTTAAAGAGAAGGGAAGGAGTCTAAATTGAAATAACGTGGAAAAAATACAGAAAAGAGGGCAAAAGTCAATGGCAAAGTTTGGGGAGGAAGACGGTGTTTTTGGTAATGACACCTGGTGTGAATTGAGAAGAATGAGATGCGATTTAATAATGTTTTTAATTAAAATGCAAGAATTCAACTCGGCAGACGTGAACTGAGAAATCAAAGTGACAGGAACTCATTTTGGATGATGACTAACATTACATTTCTTCTCCTCCGAACCTAAACTCTGAAATCAGTGTTACTTTTTTTCTCTTACAATAGATCACCTAATACAATACCTAAAAGCCACTGACGGTAGAAGGTTATTGAATGAGGTATGTGATGCAAACGTAAGATTACGAGGCAGTTAATCGCCACTTCTACTCCAACAGCTTCTTCTCTCGCACTTCCCGACAGTAGAACTCCCTTCCACTTACTTGCTTCCCTGATAGCTATAATCCTCAAATATTCAAATGTAATGTCAATCGATGTTTTTTGATGCCCTGATCTTGACATTCGTCCTTTCTTTACCCTATTTTCCACAAACAGCTCTCTTTACTCTCACTCCCCTGTAATCCCTTCCGTGCTAAGTGGCAGTCCTACCTTGCTTGGGTTGAAATGTTTATATATATATATTTATATATATATATATATATATATATATTGAATATTAGTGTTTGTTTTTTTTTATTATATATATATATATATATATATATATATATATATATATATATATATATATCACCCATCGAATTCAATGGGAGAGTCCATCATATATATATATATATATATATATATTATATATGTAAGGTAGCTAATTGCAACGACGAGAATAGAAACATAAACAATAGCATTAATATTTTTTATACAAAACAAATGAACGAAAATTATAAACAAGACGAAAGCAGAATTAAGAAAATTATAAAAAAAAATGCATAACACCAGTTGAAAATAGAAAAAATTAGACTAATTATTTATTACAAAAAATTTAAAACCTCTAACCTTATAGTTAAAAATAATAATTCACTTGTTAGAACAAAATTAAATAGGGCAAATATTATTTACGAATTTAAATGCGCATTAAGGAATTCTATTCCTGATCAATCAAAATTCGTAAATAATTATATAGGTCACACTACAACATATTTGACACGCAGACTCACTCTACACGTTTCTGACCATAGCTCAATTAGAGCTCATTTAAATATTCATGGAGACCTACCGGACACTATGTGTAAAATACTTGTTGAAAACACTAATATAATAGCATCATCTACATAAAAAAGGCTAAAAATAACGGAAGCCTTATTAATAAAAACAAACAAAAAAAACAACACTTAATGATATTAACTTTGAACATGGACATAATATCTTGACCGTGTTTTGAAAAATGAAAAATTTTATAAAACATACATACAACAAACTATTTCTTATTTAACAGTTAAAATCTTTAATCCTTGAAAATGGCTAAATGTATAGCCGAAACCGCTCGGATAAAAAGAACATTCGGACAGTTTTTATATAATTTATCATCCGAAAAGAAAAACATTATTAGATCGCATGAGAAATTGTATAAAAATGTACATGAAAGAAGGATTGTTGCCTATATATATATATATATATATATATATATAAATAACGATTCACTTTTTTCTTGCGAGTGAACATTGCATTAAAAGTTTTCCGGAGATAACAACGATCTTTCCAGTCGTACTATTCAACCCATTGCTGGGAGAGAGGAGATGGATTCAAACCTTTCTCAAGGGTATCTGTGCGTAAAGAAAGTATTCGGAGAAGCATCCACCTGGAAATATGTTACATAAAGTAGCGATTCTTTAGAACAAGGGGTTACGGTCACATCACGTTGCGATTTATTTTCCGTACAATTTGCGAAGTTAAGCCACGTCGAGGCTGGTCAGTACCTAGATGGGTGACCGATTAAGAACATCAGGTATTGTAAGCTTGAATGCGTGGGTAATGTAATGGGTAACGGATCGAAATTGGGAATTAGGGAGCTGAGTTACAGTTGGGGTCGTTACTTATGCGTATATACCATTGGGAAAGGTATGAATTCACCTCTTGTTGATATAATTGTTCCGTTTTATTATTAACTAGCGTTTTATTATTAACTAGTTGCCCGGGGATGTAACAGTAAAAGATAGATCAAGTATCGACAATCATAAAGACTGAAAAATAAAATTGACAAAGATTATTGTTTAAGGTTGACGGACATGCATGTCTTAATTTTTTTTTTTTTTTTTACGAATTGGTCAAACTCAAACAAAAACATTGTTTTCAATCGTTATGAGTCTACCGATTGAATAGAATTTTATTATAAACAATTGTCTTGTAAATGGAATTTTAAAGCATTCTGAATGTAAAAAAAAAAGTGTGTTTTGCAAGACAATAAGAAACACTACCTGCCAAAAAAAATGAAGTTTTGTTGAAATCGGTTGAGAAATGTAGAAACTGATTCCATATATAAAAGAAACACACACACACACACACACACACACACACACACACACACACACACACACACTCACACAAACACTGGTTTGGGTTTTATAATAAGTATAACTTGATATGAGTTGTCCCCCCTTCATTCTGGCGACAGAATCGTGTTTTCAAATTGATTTCGTGCAAAAACAATTGTGTTTTTCCAATTTTTGGCGCTGTCAGAACCACCGCAAGGTAATTTTACGTAGTCCTGTGAAGTTTTGTTTAAATCGGTTGAAAAATGTAGGAAATCCGATCCAATATATAAACGTACAGACACACACAATCTGCGTTTTATAACAAGTAAGATCATTGTTGTTAATCTCTTATTGTTCCTAATAAGATCTACGGTAAGAATGAAAATTTAATCCATCACATAAATCTAGGTCTCTCCAACAATTTGCCGAAAAAACAGTATAGTATGATGAAAAAGGCTCCAAATTTAATAAAAACGAAGTTTTATCGTCAAAATGTTCATGTTATTATTAAGAGGAAAGACCGAAGTATTTTTTGAGAATTTTATCAAATTTTTTAATCCTTTGTGCTACGTTTGAAATTTTGGTTAAAAATCTTTTTTTTCTCTCTATTTTTTTTAAAAGTCAGCGAATCACGTAATAATTAACATTAAGTTTTTACCGCCTTTATTTGGGTGAAAAACAAATTAATTTGGAAATTCTTGCTAAAATCAAATAATTGTCGGATTTCAATTAAACTTTCAAAACTTATTGACAAATGAATGAAATTATCTCAGACATGTCGTTTTAAGAAAGTCATGGTAAAAATATATTTTTTTACATCTGTTACGCTCCCTTACTTAATTTTCTGAAAAAACTCAAAAATTCGAATTTGTGTATTTTAGTGATTATATTAGTCAAAAGCAGAAAACTTTGTAGAATATAAACCATCGATTTTTTTTGTAATATCATATTGAAACCAAGACATTATTTAATTCGAAAAGTTTTTAATGGCTTTTATGAATAATATATGTTAAGGACACTATTGTCTGAAGCCAAAATATTTTTCCGATGAAAAATTAATTTTTACAAGGTTTTTCTTTTTTTTCAATTTTAAATAAATAAATATGATAGTGGTTAAATATTTTAAAATTAAGTCTTAATTTGTGTAATTTAGAAAATGCTGTTATTAAGGAGATCATTTTTAAAGATAATAAATTTGAAATCTTTACAATCTGCGACATCTAGGTATTTTAAAAAGAATTTTACACTGTTTTTGAGTTTTTTTCCAATAATTTGAAATTTTAATAATATGGATGACCATAAGTGACTTTAATGTTACGTGTTATAAGAGTTGTTTTTTCTGAGGACAATAAACTGACCTTAGAAAATGTTAGTTACTTTTCGTACTGCGAACATGTGTTGAATTCTCTGACCGACTTTGACCATTTCGCATTTTCAAAAGTTTTATTTTTCTACGTCCTATTTCAATAAATATTTTAATTTTATTTTTTAATTATAATCAAATTAATTAATTGTTTTTCAGTATAAGACATACTGCAATTATTACTTATTTTCTTTTTCAGTTTCAGTTCAAGGGACGGAAACAAAACAATTAATATAAAAATTAAGGAAAATTAAAAATTAACACAAAATTTATAAATGTAAAACAACATTTCATAAAAATCAGAGAGGTATCTATAGGTCAGTCAGTTATATGACGTGTGATACATGTTTAGGCGATCATATATCCCCGCTAGTCATGGCGACCTATTGGCAGAAAAAAATCTTTCTTTTTTGTATGTAGGCGATTATATATACCATTCAAACATATTTTTTCCTGCCAATAGGTTGCCATTTTCATCCTGCGATAGAAGCTGGTCTGAAGAAGAGAATTCATACCTTTCCCAAGGTATTAGCATGTAAGTGAATGTAATAGATTCGACTGGGATTCGAACTCGCCTCTCCGATTCCTCACTCCAAGCCGCTATCCATTACTCTACCGTGCCTCCTATCTTGCGTATGAAATTTCTTGGTATTATTTTTAATTATTAATTTTTATATTATCTCAGTTTTAAAAATCTTTTCATAACTGAGATATAAAAATTAATAATAAATAAAAATAATATTATAAAATTTCATAAGAGAGGTAATTAAAAATTAGGTACCTCACTTATGAAATTTTAAATTTATTCTATTGTTAGTATTTTAAATTTTATTTTTCCAGAAATCCTTTTCAAACGTAAAGCTGTAAAGCTAGAATACCCCCCACCCCTCAAATCAATAAAATATTAGATTCTTGAAAGTATTGAATTTTTAAAAAATAATAAGGTAATTGGTTCACTTAAAATTCGAAGAAGATTGTCACTTCTGTCCTTCCGCCCGATAAATTCCCCTGGCGTTAGCTGTCAATAATTGATGTAACCATCAATTCACACCTTCAAAACAAGTCCCCAAAACTTAAGACATGCTTCTGTTATTTTCAACTATTTTTCTACTAAAAAAAGTAAGTAGTGTTTGTTTCTAATTCCATTAAGTAAACTTTAATTTTTCTAATTTTCCTCAAATAACTTTTGAAAAAAGGTATAATTGATTTTTAGAAGACATTTAAAAGGAGGATTTAGCTTTTGTTTACAAAAGTCTAAAAAATGGCGGACATTTTATAGCAATTTCGCTGACTAAAAAAAAAAAAAAAGAAGATTTTAACTAAAATTTCGGACATACTAGGAAAGATTAAAAAGTATAAAAATATTAAAAAATATTTTGATCTTAGTAATAACATAAATATTTGGACGATAAAATATTGTTTTTATCAAGTATGGGGCTTTTTTCATTATGGTATGCTCTTTTTTACCGAATTATTGGAGATACCGATATAAATCTATTACAGTCTATTGTTATAATGGTTCTATTTCGTTATTAATTATTGTTGTTAATCTCTTATTGTGCATAATAAGATCTACGGTAGGTACGAATCTTCTATCCGTCACATAACTTTTATTACCCTCTGTTGTTAGAATTGTTCTATTTTGTAATTAGTTATTGTTGTTAATCTCTTATTAACCTTATTTATAAATTAAACTTTTATCACGGGTCTAGATAATAAAGAAAAAGCATATGGTTCGCTACTACCCGCGTTTTCAAGCATAGTCTGAGAGTTTTGGAACATATTATACGCGGATAACAGGGAACTACTTTATTTCTATTCGTACCAAAAACGATATTTAACGGTTTAGTCAGCCAGATCATTGTGTGTTTGATATTAATTTAGAACTGTTGTTTTGACCCTGTACCAGACTTGGTCATATCACGTAAAACAGATTCGCTTGTAAAGGTAAGTTGCCTGGAAAAAAAAGGTTTCTCGGGCTACTGGGAATATAATTTCAAGATTAAGTTAATCTGGTATAAGGACAGAGTTGTTGAGTCCCCTTCCCCCCTTCAATGAGAATTCAAGCTACTCCATGAGCGAATCTGTCCGGAAGACAAGATTTCTAACATTCACAGGAAGATGGGCGCTTGTCTTCAACACGTTCATCTCATCATCGATCGCAACGCCACCAGTGTACTCCCCACCACCTTTGAAAACTACACTTAACATTAACCACGCTTTGCACGACCCCCAACCCCCACGCTGCCCCCACTCTCGTTTCTGCTTCTCTTCCTCCAAGGGAAAACTGAACCGTTTTCTGACGACGCTGACTGTCCCCGACCCTCGTTTCCTCTCACCAACGCCAGGGGTTTTTTGGTCATTTTCTTCAGAATGTCCTCCTTGGTCACGTGGCATTTGGCGACTGAAGAACATGGGAATTGTCGGTGGCCGTTTTCTGCTGCTGCCCCGCAGACAGTAAAAGGTTAAAGTGACGCTTGTCGTGCATCTAGAGCAAGGCAATGTACATGTGGGTGTTCTGCTGGGAAAAAGGAAGAGAAGTAAGATGCGGTGAAATAGAGGAAGAAAAAGAAAAACAAGAAGAAAAAAAAGAAGAAGAAGGGAAAAGAGGAGGAGGATAAAAAGACAGAAGAAAGAGAGGAAAAAAGGAAATGTGATAGGGAACGAATAAAGAAATAAATAATAAGAAAATGAGGGAGAAGAAGGTAAAGAATAATCAGAGGAGGGGGGTGGTTAGAAAACGAAAAAGAAGACTAAAAAGAAGTTGAAAAGAGAGGGAGAAGGAAAAGAAAGGAAGAAGAAAGGAAGAAGGAGTAGAGTAATTTGAAAGGGAAAAGGGAGGAGTTGAAGAAAAGGAAGTTGGAAAGAGTAGGAGGGGGAAAGAGAAGAAGAAGAAAAGGAGGAGGAGGAAGTAGTAATAAAAGAAAAAAAGGAGTAACTGAAGTAGAGGAAGTTGAGAAGAATAGGAGGGAGAAGTAAAAGAGACGAAGAAGAAAAGAAGGAGGAGTGGAGTAATTTGAAAATGAAAAGGGAGGAAGTGAAGAAGAGGAAGTTAAAAAGAGTAGGAGGAGAAGAAGTAACAGAGACGAAGAAAGGTAGGAGGGAAAAGTGGTAATAAAAAGGAAAGGGAGGAAGAGAAAATTGAAAAGAGTAGGAGGAAAAAGACAACGAAAGGAAGTGGGAGGGGAGTAATTGGAAAATGAAAAGAGAGGAAATGATGAAGAAGAAGTTGAAAAGAGTAGGAGGGAGAAAGAAAAGAGACGAAGAAGAAAGGAAGGAGGAGAGGAATGGTTGGAAACGGAAAAGAGAGGTAGTGAAGAAAAGGAAGTAGTAAAGAGTAGAAGAGGGAGAAGGAAAAAAGTCAAAGACGAAAGGAAGGAGAGGGGGAGTGTTTGGAAAAGAAAAAGAAGGAAGTGAAGAAGAGGAAGTTGTAAAGTGTAGGAGAGGGAGAAGTAATGAGAGGAAGCGAAGAAGAGGAAGTTGAAAAGAGTAGTAGAGTGAAGGAAAATAGACGAAAAATTTAGGAGGGTGAAGTGGTAATAAATGGAAAAGGGTGGAAGGGAAAAATAGAGGAAGTTGAAAAGAGCTGGAGAGGGAGAAGGAGAAGGAAAAAGACGAAGAAAGCAAGGAGGGTCAAGTAGTTTTAAGAGGAAAAAGGGAGAAGTGAAGGGGAGGAAATTGTAAAGAGTAGGAGAGAGAGAGAGAGAAGGAAAAAAGACATATAATGTAAGGAGGGGTAAGTGGTTATAAAAGGAAAAGGAAGGAATAGAGAGGAAGTTGTAAAGAGTGGGAAGGAGAAGGAAAAGAAACGAAGAAGAAAAGAAAGAGAAGAGGTGTGTTTGGAAAAGGAAAAGAGAAGAAGTGAAGGAGGGAGAAGTAAAAGAGACGAAGAATGGGAGGAAGGGGAATAGGTAATAAAAAGAAAAGGGAGGAAGTGAAGGAGAGAGAGTTGAAATGAGGGTGGGAGAAGGAAAGGAGACGAATGATAAAGAAAGAGAGTGGCTAGAAACGGAAAAGGGAGGAAGTGAAGAAGAGAAAGTTGAAAAGTGTAGGAGAGGGAGATCATAAAAAGACTAAGAGCAAAAGATGGAGGAGGTGCTGCTTGGAAAACGACAATGGCGGAGAGGCGGAAAAGGTAGTTGCAAAGAGTCGGAGAGGGTAAATGAAAAGGAAGGAAAAGAAACGAAAAAAAGAAAGAAAAGGTATAACTAGAAAAGGAATATGAAGCAGGTGCAGAAGATGAAACTGAAAAGAGAGGGAGAAAGAAAAGAGAGGCTGATGAAAGGAAATGAGAATGATTCGACTCTGTGGATGTGGCAGGCGTGTCCGAGCAGTAAAAGTCTGCCTGGTGAGATAAAGAATGATTCTGATCTTTTTTTTAATCGAGTTCACCACATGCAAGGCAATAAAGCCACTGAGACGCAAAGGGTGTGCAAGAGTTAGAAACAGAATTATTACTAAGGACCGCGAACAAAAGAAGAGTAATCAGAACGACAGTAGGGGCACCCAGTGAGGATCGAACTCACTACTCAGTCGTAACTGTTCTAGCGAGATAAGGTTGCTAACCATTACACCGCCTCGTGGTACCCATCAGACGACATTAGCGATTGATATAGCCTTTAAATTTTTGAAGGTTAAAGTTGGCTGTAAAGCATGGAGCCGGAAGGGAGTCCCACAAGCGCAAAGTCCAAGAAAAGAAAATATTAGCATAGAATTTACGATTACATCTAGCCAGCTCTCCTTTAAATTGGTGAGATCTCGTCGCTAGTGCAGTACTGCGCTTAAATTCAAAATGTATATGCAACATAGCGAACAATTAACATGAAATTATTTATAGAAAAGGCAAAGGGAGGTAACATTCCGACAGTGGGACTGACTGAAGCCGAGCCGCCAGATCAGGACCATTAATATTGCAGATTCTTTTTGGGATTTTATCAAAGAGCTCTAGATAAATAGCAGGAGGACCGGATCATATGTGGTAGCAATATTCTGAGTATGGACGAATGGAAGACTTATAGATATGTAACATCTGAACATTTGCCATGGAAATAGCGATAGAGTATAGAAAGTCTTAGATGTAAAGGTCTGGACTGGTGCAAATAAAGAATGAAGATCATGTGAACATTTGCCATGGAAATAGCGATAGAGTAGATATTCACTTTTCTCAACTAGGTGTTAACTCTCTCAGTCCAATCATTCTCACCTGTCCCAGTCTGATCATATTTTACTGTCTCAAACTATTAATATCTATCTTAGTATGTTTCCCCCCCACCATCTTTCTATCTCTGTATAGCAAAACACTAGTTAACAAAATTATGACTTTCTGTGTCTTTGGTAATTATGCATTTTTTCCTAATTGTTTCTGTTTAGAAAGCAAAGAAAATGACTATTATTCCCTTCAAACTTTGCTTTTGTGATCTAGACATCGAGGTTTTGACACTAAGATATTATTCAGCCAGATTCAGCAGTTGCTGTAAGAGAATAATCTAGAAGTTTAGAGAACTTTCGAGGTGTTTGAAAAAATTTCAAGAATTTCTAGAATGTTCTAGCTACATAGATGTCAGTATAAATACAGGGGACATAAGCTCAACAGTTCAGTTTACTTCTAGCCGTCGAAGTGTAGGCAAGTCATCAGTGAATGATATGATAGTCACAAATGTACAGATTGAAAGTAATATTAGCCATTTCTATTGCTTTATAGGCGTAAGCAAATAGAAACATGACAGTTGCTACCCAAGGACAAAAATTGTGTAACACATTGTGATCTGATGTAGAGGTATCTGTTGAATAAAGTGGACCCTTCAAAATTTCACAAGCAAGGCAGCCAAACCTTTTGAACATTGGACCGCCAAGTGACGGGGGCGTGCATTGTCATGGAGGAGGATTGGACCGCCAAGTGACGGGGGCGTGCATTGTCATGGAGGAGGATTGGACCGCCAAGTGTCGGGGGCGTGCATTGTCATGGAGGAGGATTGGACCGCCAAGTGTCGGGGGCGTGCATTGTCATGGAGAAGAATTGGGTCGTTGCTGTTCACTTGTCTAGGCTATTTCCTTTTTAATTCTTAAGACGTACGATTAATTTCGTTACAGTACTGACTTACGATCACATCACGTTGAAACACCGGAACAGCCTGGTCAGCACCTAGATGGGTGACTGCTTTGGATTGCCAGGTGCTGTAATCCTGGGTGTGCGGGTGGTGTAATGGATAATGGCTCGGAATTGTTAGTTGGAGAGCGGAGTTTCAATTCCAGATGGGTTCATTATAGACATTTCCATTTCAGACATTTATGCGCATAGACAATTACGCGCAAATACCCTTAGCAGAACTATGAACCCACCTTTCTCCTCTTATATGGGTTAATTAGTAAAACTTCTATCACTAATCATTATTACCTCCTCGCACAAAAATATATTTTTACAATCTTAAAATATTTTCTGGCTTTAAATAACCTGCGAAAGGGTTGATAAACCGTAGAAAAACTAATGAACATAATCTTACTGAGAATGCAATTGTCAGGTGAAAGTTTTTTTTTAGTATTATATAGCACAACGCGTAAGGTTAATATTGGCTACTTTTAGTGTCCCTATTAGGAACATTTTGCTGACTACTTGTCTATGGCAGAGAAGGAGTAGTGAGTGAGAGGAATACTTCCCAATACTAACTCGTGTTATTACGAAGCAGAAATTATCACTTTTGGCGGGAGAAATTCCTTTTTTACCATGAAATTCTTGCTAATTGGTGATTCGTCAATTTATGAGTCAATGAAAACGCACCACCACACTCTTCTTACTTGCACAGCTATCAATTGATCCTTGCATTTCAGAAGTAAGATATTTCCAATAATCTTTGTGTTGTATTTTGGTAAAAGACTTTTTTCTTTATTTACATTATTCGGACTATTGTCCTCATCTTTGTCGCCATATTTATCACAACGTTTCGGCCGTTGTACGCTCCAGCCTTCTTCATATGGTTAGAATTTCGAGCTGAACCCTTTATTTCGCTCACTGGGGTAGACTGTTCTAGTTTAACTCCATCCGACAGCGGAATGATTTTTGCTACTATAAAAAGAAGTGGTAACTGCTTGCATTTTTTTCTCGGGCAACAGTAGGAAGACTATGCAAATTGCAGAGAGATATAAGCGGCTCGTGAAAACTTCGGCCAGTCCCAAACCCAAAATGGAGTATAACTGCCACATCTGGAGGGTAAGTGCTCAATCCTCACTTTCCAAACACGATAGAGTTCAGAATCGTATACGTGGTCTTGTCGGGGGTGGCTTATTTCCCACTCTACAGCCTCTTTCCACACAGACAGAAACGTTGTGCGCCTGTCGTTACTTTATCATCTATTTCCATGTTAAGTGTTGAAATGAGCTCCATTTTTTGTTTCCACCCGTTCATATCTTTACAACTAGGA